GTGTCCCCCCAGGCTTTAACAAATGCCGGGTGCACCACGGCCGGCGCCACCACACTGCGGGGTCGCTGCGGCCTGGGGGCGCACCCTCCAATGACCCCGTGATTGACAAGGCCAGACGAAGGCGGAGTGACACCGCAGACCCACACCACAAACATCTCGGCGCTGTGGAGCCATTCCCCGCAGAACGACCCGTTCATGGGCGCATCGTTGCCAACGGAGCAGTGCTGCGGGCTGAGCACGAGGTCACCTGGGGATGCGCGCACTGCTATTGCCTAGAGCCGTACGGCTTTGGCATAGCTGGGGGCTGGCATGGTTCTGACCGGCTATAAAAGGGAGCAAGCCGCATACGTTTGCGTGCGCTCGGCCCCACCGTCAGCTGGCCTGCGGGCCCGAGCGCCCGCCCGTCAGCGGGACGCCCCTGATGCCAACGGCGTGGTGAGGAGAAGCCGGGGAAAACTAGCCCGGAGGGGTGGCCCTCAAGGAAAGGGCGCGAGCGGTCGCTGTACCGGGCACCCGTGACTGAACTGTAGCGCTCTGCTATGTAGATATAGTTTCAGTCCTGTTACAGTTCTGGCTTTGCTATTCCTTTAGCTTCGTTATAACCGCTTAGCTCTAACAAATTCTCACACTGGACAAGTGATGCTCTCTCGAGTTCAGTGCAGCTAACCCCGGGATCCGAAAGAATCCCGGCTGCCCCTCTAGTGGCGCGTCACAGATGTTGTTGATATGCATCTTCAAATCTATCCTAGCCTGGGCTTTTGCTGAAACCATCAAAAAAGGATTTTAAGTAATACTCTCCTTCTCAGCAGAAATGGCTCCTAAAACAACTAACAGGAAATAGGTAACTTGCTTCATTCAAAACACTGAACAACCCTTAGATACGACTCATTTTTGGCTCAATCTGAAGAATGCATTCTCTACAGTTGCTATTATATGTAACAAGCACACAAAAGCAAGGGTACAGGAAATATAGACACCTTTCTCCCCAGAAACCCAGTCCTGTTATCAAAATGGCCAACATACTGTAAAAACATTTCATTGGGGTGAACTTTTAACAGAGATACTCTGTCTCTAGTTGGGTCTAAAAAAACCATATTGGAACGCTCTACTTTGTCACAGGAAGGCCTACTTCAAAAGCAGTAGACCTCAGCAATGAATGGATCTTCCTTTAGCATCTAAAAAGGACTGGGAGAGCTATGGGATGGAGCCAAAATACATAACAGCTTTTCAGTCTTTTCAGTCATATGTAACCCCCACCCCCAAACAGTTCTACCTTGTTTGTATTTAAGCGAAAATGAAATCATCACAGTATTAATACAAATCCAGTTTTTATGTTTTAATATTTTCTGTGCATCCAAAAATGCTTGAAATCCTTCATAAAATAGACACATCCATGAAGAATGCATTCTCTACAGTTGCTATTATATGTAACAAGCACACAAGATCAAGGGTACAGGAAGAAAAAAAGGAAGACAAGTGTATCAGTAGTATCACACAGTTGCTCCACAGAGAAAGATGCATTCATTTCCCATTAATTGAATCAAAGAACAAGCCAAACAAACATTAACCTTTAATTTTCTCCCTCTTTTTCCATAGGCAAGCCAGAAAAAAAAAAAAAAGACTGAAAGATCTAAATCAAGTGAAGGACAGGCATTCATTACAACAGCGTATCTAAACATTGGCTATGAATGGATTTTCACCCTCATGACAGCCTAACAAAATACAAAAGGAGAGACCAAGACATTTCTTTACCTAGCCATTCCCAGACTGGAAAAGTTGGAAGGGACTATCAAAACATCAAGTCTGGAGAAGGGATGGGTACCCAGTGTGGTGTAAGCAGCAGAGAGGCACTGGGGTACAAGTTCTTTGCAGCTTTCCATAAGGCACCAGGGAGCAAAGACTATAAGGAGTGACTGCCTGCAACCTGGCAACAGGATTTTTGAAAACAGCACATGACCACAGCATTCTTCATGCCATCTGACAATAACAAAAAAGGACAATAGTTTAATGTGATATCAGAAATATGTACAATTAAGTATATCAAGATAAGGATATTTTCTAGACAACAGGGAGACAGAACTACAAAGTTAGTTCACATAAAGCCAACTCATTTGAATTCCCATACTGTTCACATACATGCAACAGTTTAAAAACATAGGCTAAAATTATTACTGGTTAAAAAATTAAGACTGGTCAAGCCTTGTTTTTTTATAACAGACATGCATCAAAAGAACATATGTTCAAAATGTAAATACAGAAAACTAAGTAACAATACAAAAAAGAAGAAATATTTATTCAGAGAGTTCTTAAACATTTTGAATATTTAAACTCAACTATAAAAATAAAATCTATTTTCTCCACAAATATATTAGGTGCAATTAGAATTAAGTTCAACAGGTTTGTTTTTAAACTAAAAAATTCTCCATAAAAACTAGTAAATTCTTTTTTCCCCCCCCTAAGTAAATAAAAGGAGTAGATATCAATTCAGACTTATCAGCATAGACATTTGAAGATATCACATTAAGATCAAGCTTGCTTTACATTACTTTTACAGGATGTTCAAAGTTGTAGCTGGAAGGAGGGGGAAATCCGATCCTTCCTAAACACATTTAGTCAGATAAATTATTGTAAAAGTATCTGCCCAAATAAACTCATATCTAAGGAGAAATCAGCTTCATGTTTTCACCTGCTAACTTGCCTTCTGTACAGTGCAGAGCCTCTCCTTGGTTTTGGATTTCAACTTAAGGAAGCTGATTCTACTATGCCTTGACAGGCAAAGCATTTACTATTATTGCATGAGGCATCACCCAAAGCAGTTATATTCATAAGATCATGCTCCAAGTGAGTGCTGACACACAAAAACAAATGATAACACACAGAAAAGCACTACATGTTTCTGAAGTACCAATGTTTTAACACCTTACATAACT